TCAGATTTATAAAAATAGAATCGAATGACGTGGTAACACATCAATGAGGTTAAATAAAACTCAAATGACGTAATCAATACGTGGTTAAAACTCAATGAATTATGGGATGAATATCACAAAAATCTAAAAATTAGTCAGCACAAAATCTAAAAATCCTAAAATGAAAAGTCATCTGACTCACTGACCAAAATTATAGTAAAATTATAATAAAAATATAATAAAATATAATAAAAATATATAGTCAGTAAATATATATATATATATTTTTTGGGGTGTCAGAGTCATAATAGACTTAATATTGGCACACCCACTGACTGTTATGGGATGAATAACATAAAATTCCTTTGCTTGATTTAATGTTATCAGTTATCAGGAAATCGTTACATGCACTTCCCTTCGGTTGTTATTTCACTCTTATTTTCCTGACAACTGACAACCTTAAATTTTCACAAAGAAATTAAATTAAGAAGTTTTTGAAAGAAGCGTTGATAAGTCAAACATTTGAATGCTAAAAGAGAATAAGCTGTATGTCGAGGTTATATCTCCTATACTGCAACCTAATCTTATTTTCATGTTTTCTTGAGGAGGAGTATTCATAAAATGAACGTTTGTTCTGTTTGTTGGTGGTATTATTATTAAAGTATCTCCTCCTCCTGCTACCGGTGGTTGAGAAACTACTGAAGTTGAAGTTTTTCTTGAAGTAATTGGTACTGTTGTCGTGTTGTTGTCAAGGCGGATTATTAATTGATCTGTTCCCGGAGCGTCTGTTGGTGGTGGAATTGATAGTGAACTTGTTGAATTATTATGTATTAACATGCAATATGTTCCACCTGGTGTTATATAGGCGTTCGATTTTAGATTATCTGCTGTTGGAGTATCGTCTACGAAATATCTGTGTTGAGCTATCTGAGAAAATAATATTGTTTCTGTTACTGGGTTGTCTCCGTATCTATCAGTGAAAGTGAAAGTGTCTATTTTTCTGATTGATGTATCTGTAGGGGGGAAATTTTCTAGTCTATATGTTGTTTTTTCACTTATTATATCAAAATAAGTTTGTCCTGCATCGGTGATTTCTTTTGATAAGGCTGTGACGTTATATATTTCTTCCATTAAAATGAAATTAAAAAGATTAAAGAGTTATTTAAATATTGTAGGATAAAAGAAGTATAAGTCTATAAAGTCTCTTGGTTCTGAGAATTCTTCTACATATGAAACAAATAAAGCTCTGTCATTTTTTGTTGAGTCCATACAACGTAAAATAACTGTTGATGTGTCTTCTTCTAAGACATGTACCCATGTAAGTACTCCGTTACGTATTGGAATTGATGTTGAACGTTGTAATTGAATGTATGCTTCATTGTCTGATCCTTTCCACATTATTAAGAAAGGCCATGAAGAAGATAAAGTGATTGATGCAGTGTCTGAATATCCTATAAATCTTCCCCATCTGTTTGTCCAATTGATATCACTTTCTGTTGTTGGTCCATACACAATAATTGTTGATAAATCTCTTAAATTTTGTATATGTGAAGTGTTTAAGTAATAACAATTTAATTTATCTATGAAATATTGTAAAACATTTACATTTACTGTTACTTTAGAAATACCATCTGTTAAAGGACTTGGAGTGTAATTATATGTTCCATTTTCTGATATATTTGCTATTATTTCATTAAATATTGGTTGTGGTACATTTATATTAATTGTTGCTTTAGATATTCCATCATAATTTGTATCTGGTATTAGTGTTTGTGTTCCTCTTGTTGTGTAAGTAACTGTTTTTTCTTGTAGTGATTGTTGTGGTACAATAATGTTAATTTTAGCTTGTGATATTCCTTCATAACCGTCATCTGGTACTAAATCTTTAATACCGTTTGATGTATAAGTAATTGTTTTTTGTTGTAAATTAGGTGAAGAAGGAAAATTGTATAAAGTATATTTATTTTTTTGTGCTATTATATCAAAAGTTTTGTTATTTGTTTCTTTTAATAAATTGGATATGTCTGAGATGTCATAGAGTTCTTGCATCTTAACTTATTATTCATTTAGATGAGATCCGCTGCTAATTCCACGAGTGGACGTGATGCTTTAAAACCTAAAAAGAATATTGATGTTGTTAAAAGGAGTACACAACAAGAATTAACTGCTACAATTCCAGTGAGTGATTCTTGGACTGGTCGAGTTGTTATGAATAATGCTAACGGTTTAGGTGTTGATGTACATACAATAGGTTCACTTGGATTATTGAATAAAAGTATTATATTTAGAGAATTATGTGATTGTTTTGATCAATTTAAAATTATGGATGTACATATATGTGGTGATGTTGCTAAAGGAGTATCCACTAAAATTGATTTTAATGCCGTTTTTAATAAGGAATATGCTTATAGAGTTAGTACTGATTCTGGTACGAGTTTTACTGCTGTTAGTTATGATCAATTAATTACAAAGATTACTGCTGGTGATTTGACTGAAGCTGATAAGTCTAATGATTTGTTGACTTATTTGAATACAAATTATGCTATTGGTAAGAAAATTGTTAAACCTAGTGGTGAAAATGGTCCTATTGCTACTCAAGAAGTAACATTTCCATGTATTTATGGAATGGCTGCTAAAAGAACTATTCCAAGTGGATTTTATCAAAATAATACTGATAATAATGCTGTATATTCTGAACCTAGTTATGAAGAGTTCGCTTCTTATTCTTCTTATATTTATCAATCTAAAATGCCAGGTGCACCAATGCATTTATCATTAGATATTCAAGGTGTTAGTAGTAGTGAAAAAATGATGACAATTCCTACTATTTTGAGTGGTAAGTTATATGAATTTAAACCAGAGATACAAAATGGACGTTTTATACCTACTATTTTATATGGTGCTAGAGCTAGTATACCAGGAGTTAAAAATAATACCGAAAGTGATAAATCTGATACTAGATTGTTAAGTGTATTACAATATTTTGATGATAGTCAATTAGAATGGAATTCTAGTTCTAGTGTAAAATATACTGATGTTAGTACATTACAAAAAGGTGCTGCTCCTACTGAACAGGCACCTAATGCGTTATATGCTATTCTTAAAGCTACTACTAGAATTGAAATAACTTCATATCGTGGTACTGTTTTGCCTTTTATTGATAATGCTAAATGGACTGCTTATTTAAATGACATTGTTGCTAATGCTACCTTGAATATCGATGATAGTTATCTTCTTAAGGTAATGGGATATATTACTGTTCGTTTTAAGCAATTACGAACAACTAGGAATGAAATAGTTGAAACGTATTCATTCTTAAGATGGAGTATTAGTGATGGTACTACTAATTATAATGAACAGATTCCTCTTACTGGTAAAGGTCATTATACTACTCAAAACGGTTCTTTTGATATATTCATACGTTCAAAAGATAGTACCTGGACTGCTGTACTCGGTACTAGTAGTATAAGTTCTAATAAATATTTATATGCTATTGCATTTGGTAATGTTAATAATGCAATTCGTGTATATTCGATGGCCGCAGTTGATAAAAATCACGCTTTTGATGCTAATAGTTTTATTAATGAAGTTGGTTCTAATAACGTTAATAATTATAGTGTTATTGTTGGAGTTAATCTTAATAGTGATAAACTTACTGGTACAGCTAAGTTTGCTTATAATGTTGGAGCTCTTAATATTGGTAGGACAAATTCTGATGAGTATTATGCTGCTAGTTATGTTTCGGCTAATTCTGCTTCTACTACTTATATTACTAAAATTGATTCAGTATCTGGTAAGACGATTCCTTTATTAACTGGTAATTAATTGAACTGTTATTTTCATTTAGTTATGCCAAGAAGAATGAGAGGTAGACGTACTATGAGAAGAAGAGGAAGGAGAAGTACTCTCCGAAGACAAGCATTTGGTAATTTTGCAAGTGCAATGCAACAAAGAGATTCTACTAATGTAGTAATCTCTACACAAGAAGATGTAACTATTAATGTACCTGCTAATGGAAGTGAAGGTACTTTAATTAGAAATGTAAATGCTATTTTAACAAGTACTCAATATTTTGAAAATTATATGGGAATGTATGATCAATATAAAGTTAATGCTGTTAGAGCATCACTTGAAATGACATTTATTGGTAATGGTTTATTGAATAGTGCTACTTTCCCTTCTATTTGTACTGCATGGGATAGAAATGGTGTTAAAATTAAAGTAGTTGATATTTCTGGTACTAAATATTTTGGAGTACCTGATTATGGTGTTGTATCAAGTTATTCATCTGCAAATGAAAAAACATTGTATTATGGAAGTAGATGGGGTGTTATTAGACAATTAGATGCTGCATCAATGATGGAAAAATCAATGTATTTACCAACAACAAATACAAAACAAGTATTATCTCAAGATAATATGTATAGTGCATGGAATCCTCAATTACTTATTTCACTTAAAGCTCCTCAAAATGTTGCTGCTGCAAATGCTTGTACTTTAACTATTCATTGGCAATTTGATGTTACATTGAGAGGATTAAGAAAGGTTCTTACTCCAAATGCTGAAATATTTAGACCATATGCTGGTTTTATTGGTTATGCTAAAAATAATATGGGATTAGTTGTTCCTTCTAGTTCTGATGCTTCTGGTTATGTTGTAGTTGGTGGTGGTGATAATGCTAGTAAGCCTTCTATCAATCCTGATACAGTATATAATGCAGCTGATCAATCTTATACTAATGGTGGAGTTGTATTACCTAATAATGGTATGCCTGAATCAAATCCTAATCTTTAATCTACTTATTTTTAATGAGACGTTGGTTTGATGTTAGACAACCGAGATGGAATCGGTTTAATCGTAAACAATTTAAAAGTTATAAAAGACGTTATCGTGATTTTTATAATTATGAAGGTGATGAATTTCATACAAATTGGAGTGGTTATGCTACTGAATTTAAAACTGCTAGACAGCCTATAGATAATGAAGTACAATTTTATAGATTTGGTGGTAGACCATATGTTCCTTATACTCCTCTTGCTGGTAGTGGTGGAGATAATAAAGAAGAGGAAAAGAAAGAGGAACCTCAAAAACAATATAACGAGAATAATTGGGAACCCATGAAAATATATGATCCTCGTACTGGAAAAATGCGGATATTAAATACTTTACAAGAATATCTTGATTATAGATTACAAAATAAACTCGATCAACAAGGTGTTAATGATATGATTAATAAATTGCTTGAAGGTAGTCGTTATAAAATTGAAGATGGTAAATTAGTTGAAACTGGAGAAGATAAAGTTGAAGCCGGTAAATTGTTATATGATCCTTATTTTAATACAAATCCTATTTGGAATCAACGTAGAGAGAGATATGATCAATATATTCCTAATATTATTACATATGATGATTATAGTCATGAAATTGATAAAAAGATTAAATATCTTAAACGGGAGAATAAAAATATTAAAGAGCAAATAAAAGCTGGAGGTCTTCAACGTCAAGAAATTAATCGGATGGTTAGAGAAAATCAGAGACGTATTGAAGCACTTGAAAAGGAGAATATTGATTTAAAACGTAATCAACAACAGTTTGTTACTAAAGAAGATTTGAGGTCTTATAATATATTTCTTCGACATCGTTTTGGTTATTCTGAAAGATTACTTGAAGAGATGACTACTATACTTAATGATATGAGACCAGTTGTTTCTCGTATACCTGAATTTGAGAAATTACTTGGTCAATATGGTAATGATATTAATAATGTATATGGAACAATTGGAAAAATGAATGAAGAAATTGAAAAGAGTTATAAAACTATGAATGCTCGTGATCGTATGTATAATGCTGGTTTGAATGCTCTTTCTAATGCTATTTATGTTTCTAAAAATGAGCAACGTATTATGCAGACTCTTATTAATGGTATTATTGCTGGTATAAATGAAATGAGAGTTAATCAACCTGATTTATATAAATCTGAAATTAATAATATTAACAATTTTTTGAATAAGCTTAATTTACGTATTGATCAAAGTAATGAACGTATTAAAGTATTGGAAGATGAAAATAAAACATACGCTAGTGATTTTGATTATTTAGAGAAAAATTTTCCTCAGATTGATAGGAAAATGAGTCAAGAAGTTTTTAAACAAGAAACTGATCAAGTTACATTTAATAAATGGAAGCTTATTAGTGATATAACAAAGTTAATGGGTAATAGATTTTATATTAAATG